GCAGTAACAGTAGCAGTAGTAGCCGTAGTAGCAGTAACAGTAGCAGTAGTAGCAGTAGTAACAGTAGCAGTAGCAGCAGTAGCAATAGTAGCAGTAACAGTAGCAGTAGTAGCAGTAGCAGTAGTAACAGTAGCAGTAATAACAGTAGTAACAGCAGCGGTAGTAGCAGTAGTAACAGTAGCAGTAGTAACAGTAGTAACAGTAGCAGTAGCAATAGTAGCAGTAACAGTAGCAGTAGTAGCAGTAGTAACAGTAGCAGTAGTAGCAGTAGCAGTAGCAGTAGTAACAGTAGTAACAGTAGCAGTAGTAACAGTAGCAGTAGTAGCAGTAGCAATAGTAGCAGTAGCAGTAGTAACAGTAGCAGTAGTAGTAGCAACAGTAGCAGTAGTAACAGTAGCAGTAGTAGCAGTAGCAATAGTAGCAGTAGCAGTAGTAACAGTAGCAGTAGTAGTAGCAGTAGCAGCAGTAGCAATAGTAGCAGTACCAGTAGCAGTAGTAGCAGTAGTAACAGTAGCAGTAGCAGTAGTAACAGTAGTAACAGTAGCAGTAGCAATAGTAGCATTAACAGTAGCAGTAGCAACAGTAGCAATAGCAATAGTAGCAGTAACAGTAGCAGTAGTAGCAGTAGTAGCTGTAGCAGTAGTAGCTGTAGCAGTAGTAGCAGTAGTAACAGTAGCAGTAGTAGCTGTAGTAGTAGTAGCTGTAGTAACAGTAGCAGTAGTAACAGTAGCAGTAGTAGCTGTAGTAGTAGTAGCTGTAGTAACAGTAGCAGTAGTAACAGTAGCAGTAGCAGTAGTAACAGTAGCAGTAGTAGTACCTTGGCGAAGGCCTTGGTGCAGGACGGACAGACAAACGGTTTCTCTCCTCTATGTCTCCTCTCATGATCCTTTAGGTGGGACTTGTGTTTGAATGCCTGCAGACAGGAAAGTGAGAGGCAGACAGACAGGTGAGAGACAGACAGGTGAGACACAGACAGACAGACATGTGAGAGGTAGGCAGACAGTTGAGAGACAGACAGACATGTGAGAGGCAGGCAGACAGACAGGTGAGAGGTAGGCAGACAGACAGGTGAGAGACAGACAGACAGATAATAGAGACAGACAGGTAAGAGACAGACAGACAGGTAAGAGGCAGACAGACAGGTGAGAGACAGACAGACAGGTGAGAGACAGACAGACAGATAGGTGAGAGACAGACAGGTGAGAGACAGACATGTGAGAGGCAGGCAGACAGAGAGGTGAGAGGTAGGCAGACAGACAGGTGAGAGGTAGGCAGACAGGTGAGAGACAGACAGACATGTGAGAGGCAGGCAGACAGACAGGTGAGACACAGACAGACATGTGAGAGGCAGGCAGACAGACAGGTGAGAGGTAGGCAGACAGGTGAGAGACGGACAGACATGTGAGAGGCAGGCAGACAGACAGGTGAGAGACAGACAGACAGATAATAGAGACAGACAGGTAAGAGGCAGACAGACAGGTGAGAGACAGACAGACAGGTGAGACACAGACAGACAGGTGAGAGGCAGGCAGACAGACAGGTGAGAGACAGGCAGACAGACAGGTCAGACACAGACATGTGAGAGGCAGGCAGACAGACAGGTGAGACACAGACAGACAGGTGAGAGGCAGGCAGACAGACAGGTGAGAGACAGACAGGTGAGACACAGACAGACGTGAGAGGCAGG